CATCTTGTTCGAGTCATTAAAAAAGGGATTTTGAGAAATAATTATGAAATGTTTGGTCGCACGCAAGAAGGAAAAATCAATTAAAATTATGATATTTATGAATGGTAAAAATTTTTCATAGAAGTTTGGGTAATTGTTGAGCTAATTGTTGAGTGGAGCCTCCTCACCTCCAATGTTGAAATTAAGCTCACTTGACACGTTTTTACACAAAATAAACGAATCTAGCAGAAAAAGTGTCGCTCTGCCCCGTAGACCGAGATATTAATCGGTTAAAGTATGACGACTCTTCACATTAGGAAATCCTGTTACATCGATAGCATAGAGGAGATATGAGGCTAGAATAAGTATTTTCTGTACAAAGAAAAATCATATAAATTCTTTGCTTTAAAAACAAATTTTGTGTTTTAAAAATACAAATTATTTTCTATATTATAATTTTTGTTTTTACAGCAGGAAATTTGTTTTGATTAGGCACTTGTTCGCTTTAAAAACACAAATTCTCTCTTTTAAAATACAAATTTTCTACTGTAAAAACAAAAATTGTATAGAAAATAATTTATGTTTTTAAAGCAGAAAATTTGTGTTTTAGAGTGTTTTCAGAGAGGGGGGGAGGGGGAGGAGAGAGAGGAGAGAGAGAGAGAGAGAGAGAGAGAGTTGAATTCTGTTGATTATATAAAATTTTAGGAAATAGATTGCTAGCTTTACAAAAATGAAATAATTGTCTCTGAAAGCTGATTCGAAAAACGTTTTGTTATAAATACAATGCGCAAATTCAACGATTCCATTTTTAATTTGTTTGCGATGGTTCAACTGTGTATATCTTATACCTGCATTCAATCGATATCACGGCCGATTGCAAAGTTATAATGGTAGCATTTTAACGAATGTTGTGGTCGCGATATTTTGCAGAGTACGATAAACTACACAATTCGTCTGGCGGTAATATTTCTTGCAACCCGTGATTCTCCACACCTTGCGCCACACAGTACATATTTAATACAACTGTGTTTATAGAACATTTACGCGAGAAATATTTCAATTGAAAGATCATTTATTTGCAATAATATAACGTAATTTTAATATTATTAATATAATCTTTATAATAAGACGTACAACATTAATGTTCATTCCGCCAAGCGTAATTTTAGCCGGCTTTTCTATCTCTCACGCCAATTGAGTTAATTTAACAATATTAAAACTTTAGAAATAAGACTGTTTATATGAATAAATCAAACTAAAATATGAGACATCCAATTATGATCAAAGTTGGATGTTTCAAGTATTACATTATTATGTATTTATTAAGTAAATTTATTTCAGACATGACTACGCGCTGATAACTTCCGGACTTTCAACACAATCAATCTGAAATACAATAATAATAGGGTAGAGCGAGACTATTGAAACTGACGGCGGGTCGTCAGTTTCAACTTTAAAGTAATACGAATATTTACGATAGCAAACAATATCTCTTTGCAGTGACATGCTTATAATTATATTATACAATTGACTGCTTTTTGAGAGCATAAGCATAAACTTTAAATAATCAACATGTACTGTTTAGGAACATAAAACGTTATTGCGAGAAATGGACAAAAAATTTAAGCTCCGCTCTACCCTAATCTCTCCTGACTTAAATTAAATTAGAAAAATCTATAAAGAACTTATTGCAAAAAATATTACCTCAGCCAGGAGTCGAACCTGAGACTTCCGACTTTTCGCACAGAGAGAAAAAGAAATAGTTCTGGCAACTATAAAGTGACAACTCTAAAATACGTGCAACTACTTTTAAAAAGTAATAAGAACTAAAGTAGTATAAAAATATAGTATTCGGTACTACTTTAGTTTTTATTACTTTGTAAAACTAGTTGTAAGTACTTCAATTATTAAAGTTGTTCATTTAGTAATTGTCAAAACTATATTTTTCTCTAAGTACAGGGTGCATGTTTAATTTCTCTCTCTTTCCATTGAATTATTTTATATTAAAAAGAACAATAAAATATTTAATTTACAGTATTCAATAAATTGTACAAAAATAGGATATGTAATTGCCATAGTAGTCAAAGTGAATATATTAATTACATGAAGTCCGTGTCAAACTACGCATTGGAGATTGAGGATTACGAATTGAAGATTAGAATTTGGTCAATTAGATAATTTTAATTTTAATCTGTTTCGTCCTGATTGGTTAAATTCTAACTTTCAATTAGCAATTTTTAGGGTGCTTTCCATTTGATGACACAAGTCGACACAAGTGTCGTTTTATCTTTGTTACTCTCTGAATGTCAAGAAGAATAGAA